AAGCAGTGTGCCAGTGTTGGGGTGTGGGGGTACACAGGTGTGGGGGCCCAGCCTGCTTGCTGATGAGGAGGCTGTGCCTGGGACAGTGGCTTGGGGTCCCCGACCCCCTCACCCCCCACATACACACTGCTGATGTCTCCTTCCTCAGTTGCCCCACTGGCTCCTGCTCCATTCCCCCCCCCCCCCCCGTTTCAGGTGCCCCCCAGAGGCCCACCACAAGCCCTGCCTTCTTCCTGCCATTCCCTTCTGGCCTGACCTGACCCAGAGATCTTTCCCTTTTGCCTCCAGACATGGTCTCAGCCAAGGAGGCGGCCAAGACCAACCCCGCCATGGACCCGCAGTTCCCGGTGCCAAATGTAGGTCTAGGTGGAGAGGTGCGGCACGGTGTGGGGCTGGGAGAGGGCCTGCAGTCCTGAACCCAGGTTGGGGCCCTCCATGCCAGGGTGGGCAGAGAGGGTGGCCTCGGGCTGGCTCCCTACTGAGCTCCGGACCCCACTAGCTCGAGGTCCCGCCCCAGCCCCTGGCTGTCGCTGTCACTTCCACTCCTGCGCCCAAGGCCGAGCCCACCATCATCCCTGCCACCCGGAACGAGCCCATCGGGCTGAAGGCCTCTGACTTCCTGCCCGTGAGTGGGGGTCCAGCCTGAGGGCAGGGTGGGGGCCCAGGGGGCAAAGGCAGAACTTTACCGGCAGCACCTGGGCGCTCATCACGCACAGGCCGTGAAGCTCCCCCAGCAGGCGGAGCTGGTCGACGAGGACGCCATGTCACAGATCCGTAAAGGCCATGACACCATGTGCGTGGTACTCACCAGCCGCCACAAGAACCTGGACACTGTGCGGACCGTGTGGACCACAGGCGACATCAAGGCAAGCGCTTCCCGCCAGGCTCTGGGCTGTCCCCAGAAGAAAGCTGCGCCAGGGCGGGCCGTGGGGCTGGGTGGCCCCTGTCACCACGCAGTGGCTGACTTCGCGTCCGTTTCTGCCATTGTCATCATCACAAGCTGCCATTTACTGAGCGCCTCTTTACGGGCCTGGTCTCACACTTGTCCTTGTGGCTGCGGTCTTGTTAACACCCCACAACAAAGCCCGTCATCACGCTGCGCGGGCAGGGGCCGGGCCGTCCCCTCTGACAGGCGCTCTGTTTGCACAGACGTCGGTGGACTCGGCTGTGGCCATCAATGACCTGTCGGTGGTAGTGGACCTCCTGAACATTGTCAACCACAAAGCGTGAGTAGTCGCGGTGGGCGGAGCCGGCCCGGTGGGCGGTGCCGGCCCAGTGGGTGGAGCCGGCTGCTAAAGGCCCCTGGCCCTGGCCCTGGTCCTCTCCCCAGCTCCCTGTGGAAGCTGGACCTGTGCACCACCGTCTTGCCGCAGATCGAGAAGCTTCTGCAGAGCAAGTATGAGAGGTATGTGTGGGGAAGCCATACTGGCCTCACGGCAGGGATGGAAAGGGGCAGGACGCTCCTCAGGGACAATGGGGACCCCCAGGGCCTGCGCCCACGTGAATGTGCGGCACCACGGCCACCGCCAAGTCGGAGAGGCCCCGGTGGAAACGAGCCTGTGCTGCCCCTGGCCCTCTGCCTACCACCTCTGTCTTTGTGTACCTTGCTCTCTATCCTTCTATCTGTGACTCCATCCGTCTGCCCCTGAAGCTACGTGCAGACCGGCTGCACCTCCCTGAAACTGATCCTGCAGCGGTTTCTGCCCCTGATCACTGACATCCTGGCGGCCCCCCCCTCTGTGGGTGTGGACATCAGCCGGGAGGAGAGGTGAGGGTCCAAGCAGTGTGCCAGTGTTGGGGTGTGGGGGTACACAGGTGTGGGGGCCCAGCCTGCTTGCTGATGAGGAGGCTGTGCCTGGGACAGTGGCTTGGGACATAGGCTGGGGGTGGCTGAAGCTGGGGCTCTTCCGTGGCCTGGCTCTGCCCTGCGCCTTGGCGTGTGGCCTGGGTGGGTCCTGCATCCGGGGCCTCGGCCTGCCTCCCGGAGGAGGGGGGGGGAAGTGTGGCGGGGAAGGCCCTCGCACCTGTGCCCGACCTCTGTGCCCACAGGCTCCATAAGTGCCGGTTCTGCTACAAGCAGCTTAAGAGCATCAGTGGCCTCGTGAAGAGCAAGTCGGGTTTGAGCGGCCGCCACGGCAGTGCCTTTCGAGAGCTGCACCTGCTCATGGCCAGTTTGGACTGAGGAGCGCTCGGGTCTGGCCTCAGCCCCCGTTCCTGTTCCGTGTGCTCTCCTGGGCCCGTGAGCCTCTGCCCGGCCCCCTCTGCAGCCCGGTGGCCATCCTGGAGGCGGCGGCTCTGGCCCACTGGCCACCTGCACAGCCCTGAGCTCTCAAACAACTTCTCCCTGGCAGCGGCTGCCCAGCTTGGCCAACTCCCGCTTCTTGGGGCAGCAAAGAGCACCCTAGGGCTGCTGCTGTAATTTATAAGGCGAATTTTATTAAATTTGTAACTATTCCCTGGTTTCTTTGCCTGGAGGGGCATTCTGTGGCCGCGCAGCTCTCTCTGGCCCAGGCCGGCCTGCCTGGGCCCCTCAGAGACCTACGGCCACCCCTCCAGGCCTGAGGCAGTGTGGCCAGCAGGGGGCAGCAGAGTGCCGAGCCTGCAGGAAGAGGCAGGCTCAGGGCACTGCTGGGGGAGGCAGCGGCGGCAACTCCCCCCTCTCACAGCTAAGGGAGACAGGTGAGGGGCGGGCCCCACCAGCCCGCCCCCTCTGTCTCAGCCACCCTCCCAGCTGTCCGGTGGATGCCTCCCGGGCCAGCCGACAGCTGTATACTTCGTGGTGCCAGGACCCCAGCCTCGCAGGCTTGGCCGCCAGAGCCCACCACCCTCCCTGCTGCCCTCCTGGAGGCCTCCAGGGACAGGGGCAGCGGCCTTCTCTTCCAGTGAGGGCTCTGACAAGCTTTCCCTCCCTGCAGGATCGCCCAGTGCGGATCCCTTCTGTTCCTGTGGCAGCAGCTGGTAGATTTGCCACAGTTGGAGAGAGGGCCCCACTGAGCCCCTGTGCACATTCCCCGCCAAGGCCGAGACCAGGTGCAGGCCAGCACAACCCCCGTGGCAGGGCGGGGGGCCGGCGGGGGGCCGGCTGGGGGGGGGAGGTGTCACTGAGCTTTGTGCTTGGGGGGGGTCTTGTAGCACTGGGAGGAGGGGGGTGCTCACCTATAGCCAGTTCACTCCGGGGCAAGGCCAGGGCCTAGGGCAGGCAGGGGAGCCAGGCCAGGCCAGCCCTGCAGGCTGTGGTTCTCAAGCCAGTTTCCCAGCTATAGGATAGCGTGTTGCTGGGTAGGTCAGTCTGATAAGGGGGGCCGGGGGTTAGGGCTCGCCCCTGTGGTCTGACCAGGGGCTCAGGAGACCAACTCTTGCAGACTGTACTTGTGTAAAAAGGTTTTTATTTTAACAAGTAAAAATGGCTAAGCTTCCAAAAGTTCTTAAATAGGATTTCAGAGGGGGGAAAATGTCAAGAGGTCAGTGAGCAAGGAGAGCGCCTGGTGCCAGGCCGATGAGGGGAGCAGCAGAATCCCCGCCCACTGGCCTCCCGCCAGCCATAAATACAGCCCAGCCCTCAGCAGGGAAGGCCACGCTCCTATGTACACCTAGGAACACTATATACAAATCGATGGTCCCTGCGCCTCCCGGGGGAGCTCCTCAGCCCACCTGTTACAGACAGGGCCGGGCAGGCGGGGGAGAGGCCTGGCCTGCCAGGCAGAGTGGGTCATCCCTGCCCTTCCAGCCCATGCCTTTTGCACCCACAGCCACTGCCAAGAGACACCATTTCCTTCTGACCAGCTTTTCTCATCTCTGAGCAGATACGAGGCAGAAGGGCTGCCTCCACTCCGGCCTGCAGCTCTTGGGCTCCTGGTGTTACAGGAGCAGGTCCCCAACCCCGGGCTGGCGGGGGGGGGGGGGGGCCCCGCCCGCCACACAGGCACCGGCCAAGACTTCCCTGCAGGAGGGGGAGAGAGCCTTCGTGAGCCTCGGCGTATGCGGACGGGAGGGAGCCAGGCAGAAGCACACAGACAGCAGGGGCAGCAGGACAGGCCCCGCCCTGAGCAGCCCTCTCCCCAGCACAGCCCTGCAACCCAAGGGGGCCAGGCGGGCGGGGGGGGCGGGGGGGCTAGCCCCACACTCACCTGGAGACTCTGCAGCCCCAGCCGTCAGGCTGAAATCAAAGCAACAGGTGTCTCACTGGTGGGCTTGCCTGGGGCCAGGACTCCCCGGGACCCTAAGGCCCCTGCCTCCTTGGATCCAGGCCTGGCCAGGCCCCTCTGTGAGTGGGACCACACAGGGGGCTGGGGCTCTGGATTCCAGTCCTGGGGCTGGGCTCACTCCTCACCTGGGACCTGGGTGGGCCCTACCCCCCCCCCTCCCCAGGACCCAAGGCCCAGGGCAGGGGTGCCTGGCCTGCTGTGGGAGATGTGTGGCTTGAGCCCAGCCTCAGAGAATTGCGTCCTGGGCCCCAAGGGCTGCGTTCCTCCTCACATTACTCCCTCTCCAAGGAGCCTTTGGTTTTCCCATCTGTAAAATGGGCCTAGCGCTGCCTGCCCTAACTACTACCCAGGGCCAGAAAAGGTTGTAAAACAGGTTCTGCTTGAGTTTTATAAACTTGAAAAGGAAAACAAAAAGTTCATTCAGGCAAGGGCAGTCCAGTGGCTAGCCACCTGTTGGGGAGGCTCACCCACCGCCCCCCCCCCCACACACACACACTGGCCCACTCCCCAAAAGCTCACCCAAGGGCTGCAGCTTCCTCCGCATTGAGCCTGCGCGGCTGGTGGTCCCAGAGCCGGGGGCTGAGTGTGCTCGTGCTGAGGGCTGTGGGGTCTGGCAAGCTGGCTCCCACTGTGGGCAGGGGCAAGCAGGTGGGCGGGGGCCATGCTGCCCTGGCTCCCCCCCTCCACCGTGCTCCCCGCCTCCACCGTGCTCCCCCCACCCCCGTTCCCCTCTCCAGCCTCCTGAAACTGCTCATCTGCAAAATGGGCATGATGAGGATAGCCCCGCCTCAGTTACTGCAAGAATTACCTGAGATAATGTACGTAAAGAAGGGAATGAGTTACTCCTGAGCACCCGTGTGCCAGCCTGCAGCCCCGCCGCTCCCCCCCGCCCCCCAGCCAGCTGAGGATGGCCATGGGTATTTCTGAAGCCAAGAAGTATTGAGACTAAAGAGGCCCCTGGCTGGGACGCCTGGGTGGCTCAGTCGGTTAAGCGTCTGCCTTTGGCTCAGGTCATGATCCCAGGGTCCTGGGATCGAGCCCCGCATCGGGCTCCCTGCTCAGCGGGAAGCATGCTTCTCCCTCTTCCCAGCCTGGTGCTTGTGCTCTCTCAAATAAATAAAATTGTTAAAATAAATAAAGGCTCCTGGGTTCAAGTTCTGGCTCCTCCCCCTCTGGCATCTTCCCTTCGGCCGTTCCCCACCCCAGACCCTCCCTCCTGCCCATGACCTGGACATGCCAGCCCAAGATGCAGCTGTGGTGGTCACCATACCTCCAGATGCTCCTGGCTGGACCAGGACCCGAGCTCTGCCCTGCGGGACCCAGGGCCCAGCTCCACAGAGCGCACCCTCTCAGCAAACTTCAGGGAGTACAGCGTCTCGCTGGTGTTCTTCTCCACGGGGGACACCTAGGGGACACGAGAGCTCACTCCCCACCCAGGCCAGCGGGCCTCCCCCTCAGAACTGGAAGGGGCAGCATGCACATGGACTTTGGAGCTGCTGAAGATCAAGGTCCCTTCCCCGCACCGCCTGGGGTACGTGAGCCACAGGCGAAGGGGGTCCCCGGTTGTGGTGCCGGCCAGCCCGCCTGGCCCGGCGGAGGGCCTCACCTGCACCACCATGAGCGTCTTGCTGTCCCCGCTAAGTGAGTCCTGCAGCAGGTAGGTGAGCTTGGAGTTGCGGAAGGGCACGTGGCCCTGGCGGGAACGCAGGGCAGCAATGACATCCCCCAGGGCTGACAGTGACCTGTTGATGTGCTGTGCCTCCCGCAGGCGGCTGCCCTCGGCCCCCGACTTGCCCACGCGCTCCGAGCCCGCCAGGTCCACCAGGTTCAGCTTCCCTGCGGGGAGGGCGCCAGGCAGGTTAAGGCCGCCCCCCGGGTGGGGGCAGGTGCCAGGGGGTGCTGCGGCCGGTGGCCTCGGCCTCACTCACCCGTGGTGCGCAGGCCCGTGCTGCAGTCCACTCCGCGCACCGTCACGATGAGCAGGGCGTGCGAGCGGGAGCTGTGCTCGTTCAGGTTGGTGAACTCCGTCGTGCGGTTAGTGTGGCCAAACTCGAACACCTGGTGGGGAGAGGGGGGGCTCTGGAATCACCCCATCCCCAAGGACCCCTGGGAGGGGCTGGCCCCCAGGCCTGGGGACCTGGCAGAGGCTGCACCGGAAACCCACGCGGCCTGCTCCAGCTCGGCTTGTGGGCGGGGCCTCCCCAGCGCTCTCTCCCCCACCCCACCCCGGGCCCCCCAGCCTTGCACCTTGTTGATGTCATCCACGCTCTGCACCTGGAACTCAGTCAGCCCCGGCACGTAGAGCTGCCCGCTGCCGTCTGGGCACAGCCGGATCTCCAGCTTCTCCTGGGGCTCCTGCCCCAGCAGGTCCCTGCAGGGACAGGGTGGACGGTCACTCCCTCCTCCCACTCCTGCCGCTGCTTGCACTGCACCCCGCCCCCCCACCACCTAGAATGTTCTCCCACCCCATCACACCTTCAGGAAGCCTTCCTTAACCACTGGGCTAAGCCTCTCTCTCCTCTAGCTCTTCCCCTGCACTCAGTCCCCTGAGGGGCAGACAGTGTTCCCCAAAGGTCCCGTGGTGGCACTACTCCTGCCCCCACGGGGCACTGAGCTCTCGTGGGCAGGGCCCCCCAAGTCCCCACTCTCGTTTCTCAGCACCTGGTGTAGCCTGCAGGGAGAGTGGGTAGACTTGGAAGGAAAAGGAGCACCTGGGTCTAATCTGGGTGTCCCAGGTGGACTCAGAGCGAGCCCTCCTCCCCGCTGCCCGCCGGGGTGGGGCAGGGGCCGGGGATCACCCCACCGCTGGGCTGAAGCAGGACATGGGGCCCCGACTTCATCCTGCATGGCTCCACACGGCCCTGAGGGCCACAGAGGCGCCCGGGAGGCCTGGGCCCCGTGCCGGGCCTCCCACCTGAGGACCTCGTTGTAGATCTCGGCCGCGCTGACCGTAATGGTGTACTCCCAGTCCGACGCCTTCTCCTGCACCTCGGAGAAGAGCAGCTGCAGGGCCCGCTGGTTGATGCCGGGGTTCTCAGGGGTCCCCTGGGGGCAGAAGCAAGGCCCCAGTGAGCCAGGCCTCTCCCAGTCCGCAAGGGGTGGGCCGTGCAGATGCCTGTGTGGGGTCTGTGGGCCCCTCCCCTTCTGGTGACCACTCAGGCCAGCCGCCCCACCCAAAGCTTCCACCTGCCTCCTAGTCTGCCCCACAAACATCCCGTCCTAGCTGCAAGCAACGTCACCCCCTCGGGCCTCAGTTTCCCCCACCTTTCCATGGCACTGCCCTACCAGAACTAGCCTGAGACTCAGAGCAGAGGCCTGGGTTACGTGCTGGTGCGGGTCTGCAACACAAGGGCTGCTGAGCGCCAGCTGCATACCTGCTCCTGGGGGGCCCCCTGGCAGGGGGCACTGGGAACCTACGATCTCCCTGCCACCACCCAGAGGGTGGCTCGTGTCAGGGAGGCCATGAGCTGGGCTCCGTGGGTGGTGGGAGGCAAAGGCAGGGCCGCAAGTGCGCTGGGGCCAGATGGGCTGGCCAGCCCTTCTAGAAAGAAACCTGGAGTACTCACCTGAGCTGTCACCTCGCCTTACGTATCACCCCTCACCCCCTTCCACTTCTGTGGCTCGGCCTCCTTGCCTCCGGCCTTGTGGCCTCAGCCCTGCTGATCCCCATGCCTGGAATGCCCTTCCCCACACGCCCCCATGGCTGGCTCCAATGTCACTTCCTCGGGCAGGTGGCTTCATCTCCCCTCCAAAGGCCTGATCCCTCCCTCACAGCTGATTCCTCATCCTCGGCTTTAAGTTTCCTCCCTGGCACCCGACAGAACACAGCCTGATTTGTCGTGGGCACTGCTGTCTCCCCAGTGGCAGGCTGGCTCCGTGGGGGGGCAGACACTCTGTGGTCACAGCGGTGCCCAGCCCCCAAACAGCGCCCCGTGTACGTGGGCCTCAGCAGGTATTGTTGGAGGAGAGATGCTCCTGGGGGTCACCCCAAGAGAGGTAGGAGTCCACCCCTCCCCCCTCCCCTCCCCCCCACCACCTTGCTTGGCCTGCCCCCCACTAACCAGTCTCATCAATCCCAGAACTAGGGCAAGAGCAGGGTCCAGACTGGGAAGAAAGAGCCACCATGGCAGCCTCCCCGACAGGTGCCCTGTCCAGACACTGGGACACCTGTCCTCACCCCCTCGCAGAGAGCCCCACAGCACCCCCTCAAGAGCTGGGGAAAGGCTAACAAACCAGAGACAGCCCCGGACACCACCTTCCATTTTTATCTACAGTTGAGATGCTTCCTCCTCTTGATGCTCCCTCTCCCGCCACCCCGCACCGAGCGGGCCTGGCCACAGACCGGGACGTGAGGCCCTGCCCCGGCCCTGGGAGCAGACTGCCCTCATTCATTCTAACGCCCCAGGGCCCAGCACAGGGCAGCTATACGGCAGGAGCCCAATTAATGCGTGGAGGCAAAACGAAAGCCCGTCCTGAGAGACATACAGGTGGTCTGGCCTCGACCCGGACCTCAGGCGGAGATCCCTGTGATGCCAGAGTTTGCTGGCAGCACACGTGCCCCACCCCATGCCCACTGGGACCGTCTCGGGTCCTCCTGGGCAAGGTGCCCCTCTTCAGGCCTGGTGCCTCGGGGCTAACACAGACGACTACCAGCTCTGCTCCCGTACCGCCGGAACCCCGAAGGCACGAGGGCAGCAAGGGGGCGGTCCTCGCCGGTGGAACCCCTGCCCCCTGCGGCGGGTACCCACCTCCATCGTGTACGTCTTGCCAGCACCCGTCTGGCCGTAGGCGAAGATACAGACGTTGAAGCCGTCGATGCAGGAGGTGATCAGGGCTTGCACCTCCTGGAACACCTGTGGAGGGGACGTGGGGTGGAGATGGCGAGCCCTGCCGTGGGCCCCCCACCAGCTCTAGGTCCTGCCACCTCCCCCGAGCTCTCTCCTTCAGCAGTAATACAGCGCATATTGTTACTGGCAAAAGCCGCTCCCCATGGAAGAATTTGTGACTAATGGGTCACTTACAACAGACCTCAGTGGGCAATCGGTGCCAAGACTGAGGGGACGACAGGGCAGTGTGCCCTGCCCGCCAGCGCCTGAGGAAGGGCTGCCCGGCCCTGGAGCTCAGGGACCCCACCTCTAGCTTCTCCCATGCTAAGGGAGAGCTCGGCAAAATGAAGGCGGAGGCCAGCATGGGTCTGGCGCCTCCTGCAGCCTGTCTGCCCGCCAGCAGAGGACGGGGCCAAGGTGAAGCCAAGCACAGGGACAGGAGGGGACAGGCGGGACAGGCCTGGCCGATCAGCCCTGGCAGAGAGGAGAGAAGAACGCGGCTGAGACCACGTGGCTCTGACGGGCTGAGGGCTCTGCAGGGCAGCGGGGGAATCCTAGGAAGGCCCGCGGGACTGAGCCCTGTGCTCCGGGCTGGAGAAGCAACGCCCCCCAGGGTCAGGTGGGTGGGCGGGGCTGTGAGTGTAGGAGGGGCTCCGTGGGTGGGAGGGGCCCTGTGGGTGGGCATGGGCACGTGGGCAGGAGGGGCCCCCAATAGCGGGCGGGTCTGTAAGGGTGGGAGGAACGGCGTAGGCGCCATAGGCTGTCCTTGAATCTCTGCCCTGCAGAAGCTTCTCAGCCTGTCTTAGCTTCCCACTCTCCTCTCCTCCAGTGGAAGAAGCGAGGCATCCCAGCACCCCAAGCTTCTCCATCCTGTCTCTCCCACTCTTACATTTCTTTCTGTCCATGCCCCCATCATCTCTATGTGTACCCCCCCCTTCCACTGCTCTGTCCGTATCCCCACAGGGCCACACTCACGTCCTGCTGTGAGGCCCGCGGGGAGAAGACCTTGTCCAGCTCAAAGGATACAGGCTTTCCTTTGTGCAGCAGGTGGATGATGGAGTCGTCGTCGGCATCGAAGGTCACAGCATTGGTCGCATCAGGTCCTTCCCCGTCCTCTTTGGTGACTGGCCGGACACGAGCAATCACCCGGATGTTCCCTGGATTGTGTGGGGAGGATAGAAAGGTACGTACAGGCTGGGTCAAGATCAGACTGCCTCCCCACTGGCATCCTTTGGTGTCCTGGGCAGCCTGGTGACTCAGGAAGCCCTAGCCTTCTGAGCAAGGCCGCCCACAACACTGTTATCAGTCACTCACACTATCATGAATTCATGTATCAGTACACTTTCTTCCCGGGCAAACTGGCGGAGAGTGGGAGCTTCCCGTTGGGGAAGGGAGGAAAGGTCAATTGTGGGGCTCGGGCACTGCACCCAGTCCAGGTGGGATACCAAATGGACACTATATCTCTGGACTTCAGTTTCCTCTATACAGTGAGGGGCGTGGGTCCCAGTAAGCCAAGAGACTTGTTCTGTCATGCTAAAAGAGCTTTGTGGACGCCCGGACCGGGCTTGGGAATCAGTTCGCAAAGAGAACCAGACAGCAGGTGGATGAGTAGCACATGGAATGGGGACGGGCAACAAGGCAGCTCTGGGGGGCCTGGGGGCACAGACTGTGCCATCCCCTTGCTTCAAGCCCTTCCACGGGATCTCAGTGCTCCAAGAATGAAGAACAAACTCCCCACGACAGCCAGCATGCGCCTACCTTCCCCTTCACCTATACACTGCAACTCACTATTCAGGCCCCAGCTGCGGCTTCACCTCCTCCAGGAAGCCCTGCAACACCCCCCACTGTCAGACACCGAGGGGCTCTTAGACCCCCTCCCCCGCCCCAGTAACAGGGGCAGTGTCGGGGTTCTCTGGGTGATTACAGATCGCTGTCTGCTCCCCCAGCTGCAGTGAGCACTGTGAGGGCAGCAACAGCACCTGTGGGCCCACGGCCATGTCTCAATGTCTGGAACAGCACCGGCACGAGCAGCGCCCTCCTTGCCCTTCGTACCGTGAACCCACACAAGCCCCACCAGGCCCTCGGTCAGAACAAGCGGCCTTCCAGCCCCCCCCACCACCACCCAGGACTTCCCTGCCCCCACCGGGGCCTGGGGGTGGCCTGCCACGGGCACTGGGGTGAGGGCTTCAGAGTTGGACCGATCCAAGTTCAGATCCAGGGTGGACCACCTGGTAGCCGTGCGCATTGGAGCCAGCTCCCTGACTTCTGTGGGCCCGGGTTTCCCGATCTACAGAGAGTGGGAGCTACAGTAGCCCCTTGGCGACAGGGTGCAGGCTCCAAGGCGCGGCCCTAGGCTGGTGGGGGGAGGGCAGCATCAGCTCGGAGCCAGGTCGGGACCCTGTGCCGGGGCGCCCCCAGCCTCCCCGCAGCCATTACCTTTCAGCCGCACGAGCTCATTGTGGCACTTCTTACGCAGCTGCAGCTCCCGGCGGTACTTGCGCAGGAGCTCCTGGTTGTTGCTGTTGACCTCCTCGATGGCCTGGCCGATCTGGCAAGGGGGTGCACAGCGCTGTCGGAGGCTGGCTCCGCCAACCGGGCTTAGCATGCTGCCTGCACCCCCCCGGCCTCCTGCCCTGGGCTGAGTACTTGATGTGTGCTGTCACATGTCAGCTCCTTCAAACAGCCCCCGTGGGGAGGTACGGCCGCCAGGCCCATTTCACAAAGGAATAAACTGAGCCTCAGAGAGACTAAGCCAGTGGCTCAAGGTTGCCCTAACAAAGCAAACAGCCAGGACTCCGCCCTCACTCCCCAGGACTAGCACCTGACTATAATATGATTCAGCCGGAACCAAATTACAGCTCTACCCCTGAGCAGCTGGGGGACCCAAGGCAACTAGTTCAGTCATCACATCTCATTTTTCTCATCTGTAAAATGGGAATAACACCATCTGGTCTGTGGATCGGCAGCACCTGGGCGGTAACGATCTCCAAGTCACACTTCATAGGGGAAAGCAGCAAAATGCAGACCACAAATGCAGATGTTCCCCTCTGTTGGGTAGAAGGGAAGTGTGTCTCTGCACCCAAATACATCCACAGGCTTCAGGAGCTCAGAACGCCCGGGGCGGGGGGCCCTGACAGACACCGCCTCTGGGGAGCGTGGGCCAGGGCGGCAGAGAGGGTCCCCTTCCTTTTCATCTGATGCCCTTGTGCACGGCTTGAACTTTCTACTATGTCCATGTGTTGTTGACATAATTTTTCTACAGAAAAAGAACGATTTTCTATTCCTGAAATACATCAGTCTCTCTACCCTGCAGGGCCGTGGTACCGATTCAAGGAGCTGACAGCTATAAAAGGCTTAGCATGTAGGAGGCACTTCAGAGAGGCTGGCTATTCTCATGCTGTACAAGTACGACTTAAGAAAACTAAAACTGATGTAAGAATATATGCAGCACGTTTAAAATACAAGGATATATGTTGCATGCTTGGTTTAAAAAGTCATAGTAAGGGCGCCTGGGTGGCTCAGTTGGTTAAGCGCCTGACTCTTCATTTTGGCTCAGGTCATGATCTCAGGGATGTGAGATCGAGCCCCGTGTTGGGCTCTGCTCTGGGCATGGAGACTGCTTAAGATTCTCCCTCTGCCCCTCCTCCCCCCAACTCTAAAAAAATAAAATAAAAAATAGTCATAAAAGAAATACTGAAATACCTGCCCCGACCAGTCTGTTTTTCAGTCTGTGTGAGTGGGGGGAAGAGAGCTGTTGCCTGGGGGCTTTGCTGCAGTTTGGAATGGAGCCCTGGGCTCCAGGGCCTCTCTGAGCCTCCCCTGTCCGCTCAGCCACGCGCTGCACTCACCTCGGCCTTGACACTCTTGAGGGCCTCCTGCAGGAGCAAGGGGAAGCCGCGCACCTGCCGCTTGAGCCCATTGTAGTCGTTGGTGAGGGTCCGCAGTGCTGGCTGCAGTGTCAGCAGGTTGGTCCGGACCCCTTGGGGGACATTAGAGGTGTAAGGTGGACAGGGTGAGGGGCTGCAGCAAGGGGAGAGGGCAGGGCCCAGCCGGCCGGCTCACCTGCCAGGTTCTCGTGCACAGCCTTCATCTCTACCTGGGCTCTGGCAAAGGCCTCCTCGATGGCCCGGTTCTTGTCTTCCTCCAGGGACTGCATCTCCTCCAGCATCTGCCCGTGCGCCCGCTCCAGCTCTGACTCGTACATGGCGATCTGACGGCCCAGGCCAGAGCCTCAGCGTGGGGCTCGGGAGGCAGGGGGGTGGGTGCCAGAAAGAAGGCCCGCGCCTTACCCCACACACGCACGTGAGCGAACGGTGCCCCCCACACGTCGGCACAAACACGCACACGGGAGGGGGCAGATGGCCATCTCGCTCCCGGGAAGGTCTGTGAGCTCCATGCAGCTCCTTCCTTCATCAGCCCCAGCACCCGCCTGGTGTCCTGGCACATAACTGGTGCACAAGCCACAGGCCCCAGGAGAGCAGGGGAGAGCACTTGTTATAATAGTGACCAGGGCCCCTTTCCGAGAACGCGTGTGCTGGGCCCTGTGTGAGGAGACTTGGGATAATGTCCCTGGGCACACGCGGGAGGGTGCGTTCTGCGAGCACACCGGTTTACAGATGAGGAAACAGAGACGCAGACAAAGCCTGCCCTGGTCACACAGGCAGCAGGGAGAGAAGGGCCTGGAACTCAGGTCCGTGGGCCCCCTGCTTGCTGACCCGCTGCCCCGTACTGACGCCGCCTCTGTGGGGCCCCCCGGCACCCTCGCACTCCGGTGCCACCGCCACCCCCCCCCCCCCCGGCGCCTCGACCCCCCGCGGCCTGTGCACCTGCGCCCGAAGCTGCGCCGTCAGCTGGTGTGAGCTCTGCAGCTGCTGCTCCATCTCCTTCAGCACCTGCCTCTGCATGGCCACCTGCTCCTGCAGGTGCTGGTTCCGGGCCTGGGACTCGCTGAGGGCCTGCTTGGCCTTGGACGACTCCACCTCCACGGTCCTGATGACGTACTGTGGGGGCGGGGGGGCAGGCGCGTGGAGGTGCGAGGGTGCCTCGGCCTTACCCCGGGGACGCAGCCGGCCGCGGGAGGGGACCCTCAGGGACATCCCACCCAGAGCGCCCAGAAAAAAACTGGGGGAGCTTCAAGGTCCTGGCTTTCCCGGGCGCCGCAGGGCCTCCGGGAATCCCGTCATTTCAGGAAGCCCACCAAGAGCCCGGCTGCGGCCCCAGCCGAGGCACAGAATGGACAAGAAGGGCCAAGACGAGGGCAGAATCTCGCGATGCCCCGCACCCATGGCCGGCAGGCGCAGGCACCTCAAGCCTCGGGCGCCGGATGGCCGCCTACCACGTGTCTGGCCCCGGACAGCAAGAAGGGGGCGGAGGGGCGAGCCTGAGCCCAGACCTGGGACGATTCCTCCAACCACTCGCCCTTACTCATTCTCCAAGACAAGCCCCCTGCTTGGCGCGGCCCCGCCCTGGGCGCCAGGGCCAAGAGGGCAAGGGCCCCGCTCGTGGCCACCGCCGGAGGCTCACCTTGATGGGCGGCGACTGGGCCCGCAGGCTGGCAATGGTCTCGTGGCTGTCCCGCAGGCGCCGGCTCAGCCGCTCCTCCTCCTGCGCCTTCTCGGCCAGGCAGTCCTTGAGCCGCAGCTCGACCTCGGCCAGCCGGTCGGTCTTCTGCTGCACCTCCAGGTTCAGCTCGGACAGCATGCCCTTGTTCTCGGCCACCTCCAGCTGTAGTTGGGACAGCTTGTCCCGGAGCTGGGCGCTCTCCTGCAGGCAGGCGTTGGGGGGGGGGCAGGACAAGGGTGCCGCAGACAGAGGGAAGGAGAGACGAGCAGGCAGGGGTCACTGCGAGGAACCGGGGCCACCGTTCGGGACCCAGCCCTCCGGGAGCAGCTGGGGCCGGGCCGGCACGCTCACCTGGCTGTGCTCACAGCCCGCGCAGGGGGCCGCCGCCTTGGCCCGCAGCTCTTGCACCTCGGCCTCGAAGCGCCGCATCTCCTGCCTCAGCCGCTCATTCTCCACCACCAGCAGGTCGCGGTGCTTCTCCAAGTCCGTGCCCCCCTGCAGAGAGCCAGGGCCCAGGGGGCGCATGTGGCCAGGGCAGACCCGGGAAGCAAAGAGCAGGGAGGCGGGGCGGGGACAAGGGGCAGGGGAGAGAGGAGGAGAGGTGGAGAGAGAGGAGAGAAAGAAAAAGAAAGGCGGGCGACGGAGGGAAGAGAGCAGGAGCTCAAGGGGGACAGAAGGCAAAGACAGAGGGGAAAAGGGGCGCCGGAGGGACGGCCTTCACCCGCCCCCTTCTCGTTCTGTTTTCCTGAGTGTGAAAGTAACACGAAAGTCGTATTTATACACAGAGTTCACACTCCTATTTTACATCAGCAGACGAGAATTAACCTCCCTCCCTTTGGGGGTCACACGGCCTCTGAGGGCCTAGTGAGTGGTGACAAGTATTCGGGGAGCATCTCCCCAGCTGAATGGCAGGCTGCTGGGCGTATATGCGGCGCCCACGTGGGCTGGACATGAGGGCTCTGGAGAGATGGGTCCCACACCCCATCTGGCAGGGTCAGTCTGCACAAGGCCGGGTCAGCACCCCCGCAACAGCCCCCACCTTAGGACGTCAGTGTTGAGCCTCACCAGCTCTGATCGAAGGCGGTTCACTTCCTGGGCCTGGCTAATGAGCTTCTCCTTCAGGTTTTCCACCTGCCGGCACAAAGCCACGGTCACGGTGAGCCTCGTCCCTCACCTCCAGCCACACCCAAGCCTGGTCTCTCAGCTCCTGCCCTCCCTGTGTTCAAGCTTCAGGGCACCTGGGACCCCAGGTGAGAGACACCCGCCCCGTGCCAACAGCCTTCAGCATCCTCACCCGCCGCAAGACCCAGGTAGCCTGGGCTCTCGGGAAAGTGGGGAGCAAGCACAGCAGAGGTGACCCCTGCACCACTCTGAACCCACGCCAGACTCAGGAGGCCGACCCTCAGGACCCCTGTCTTGCACCGGCCCTTGCCGTGGCCTGTGTCTACTTACGTATTTGTAATTTTATATTCTTTTCCTTAAAAGAATTGTATAAAGTCGACGCTGCAAAACCTAGGTTGGTCTTTGCCTAGACCCTAGATTCTTCCATTCAAGGGGTTCCTGGCAAGTCAGCCTGTGGAGACAGGTCTACCCGTGACCAGGGCGCATCTCAGACCTGTGTCCCCCCACCCCCACCCCCAGCTCCCAGTCTGCCTTGCTGGAGAGCTGGGGCCAGCAGAGAAAGGGGTGTGCACCCCGTCAGGACGCAGGGGTGGCCTGGCTCAGCCGGAGCCCAGGGCAGGGGAAGCCACCACGATGCCAACTCTGAGAACACACATCCCAGGACAGTGGCCCTGTCCCAGAGCTGTCCTCCAGCTGGCCGCCCTCCCTGCTGGCCCCAGACCCTGATTCTGCAACAGCTCCCCTCCGGGAACCTCTCGGGAAGTAACCCAAAAATGCGGCCGAAGACTTTGGCACCACCAGTGTTCCTCCGCGCATGTTTGGGGGTCTTCTCGCGGAACATCTTGTGATGCCCGTACCTGACTGCCCCTCACCTTGAGAGGGCCCAGTGAGAGTCAGACTCCCTCTGTGGGGGGCTAGGAGGTGGGTTTTACCCAAGCAGGCCATGAAGCCCTGGGTTCTTATTACCAAGCGACAGCTGACAAAGTCTGCTGCCTGCAGGGGCCGGGCCAGCCAGGTAAGGCAGGTGAGGGGCAGCGCAGGTCCCCCTGGGAGGAGGCAGCCATGGCCGGGGACACACAGGCACACATCTCCAAACTTCTGACCTTTCAGCAGAGGCCAGATGTTGGGATGCTGGGGTGTGTCGCAGCTCCCCATTTTACATGGCTGGGATGTCATCTGAGGTCTGTGGGGCACGCTCGGTCTCCTGGGGGGGGAGAGGGTGGTCTCTGCTCCTCCGAGCCAGCCGGTGGGGGGAGGAAACGGAGCGACAGACCAGGCCTGCGCCACTCCAGCGTCCCCTTCTGTTGAGAGCCTGGCGTGAGCAGCGCTCCATTCCTCCTGCCTCTGAGCCCAGTGAGCGAGGGACAGCTCGTAGAAGGCAGCGGGTTATTCCTTAGCTGTGAAGCTGGGAGTAACCTCGATACCCAGCATTAGGGGAATGGTTAGGTAAGTCGCGGCGAGTGCTCACGCAGACTGCTATGGTTCCGGCTGTGTCTGTCACAAGTTTTAAGTGACCTGGGGGAAGACTCCTCAACATACTAAGTCAAAAATCCCAAAACAAAATTGTGAATGCAACACCACAAAGCGGGGGTCTCTGGACTGTAGAATTATGCCCGACAAATTCCTTGTGCTTTCAGGCAATTTTTAAGTCTCAAATAATATGCATTCCTCTCACACTCCGCCATCCTGAAATAGGTGGGTCTACCTCCCTTTGAAAGGCTGGGGTGCCCCCGCCGCCCCGCTTCCTTCCCTCGGAAATCACCCTGGGAAGACCCACTTGCACTGAGCAGGTGCCCCAGACAGGCTGCTTCCTCAGCCTGGGTGTGCCCTGACCTCGCTCGTCCCTAATGCCACTGGCACGCAGGCCCGGATGCACGAAAGCGGGGTTTTCCAGTGCTCCCTCGGGGGGTCAGGATGCCCACCTGCAGCCCAGGCTCCGGCTCCCTTCTTGCATCACAATCAGGACTCTGGGTGCTCCCGGGCTCCGCCTAGAACCTCTGAGGGGTGCCCCAAAAGGCTGGGGGCGTGGGTGGGCGGTCGAGCAAGAGGCTGTAAAAGGCTCTTCGTCAGAGGTGTCAGTCATCTCCTGGCTCGTCTTGGACAGTGGGGGGGACACAGGCCACCAACACCATACGGTGGCCCGGCAGGCCAGCTCCATTTGGGGCTGGGGAATGAGAATGTGTGCTGCTCGGGCGCAGGACGGCTGCCCTCCACCCAGAGGGCTCTGCTTCAGGAGCGGTTAGGGCAGCAAGTGGGGTGCTGGGGGTGAACTGGACCGGAGAGCAAGACCTTCCAGGGGAGAGGGCCCCCGTAAGCATCCCTTCACACACCCTCCCCAGCTCTGAGTCAGTGGCGTGCTTGCATCTGGAGGCGAGGCGGGGAGGGACCTTCTCTATTACCCCTCAGACACCCTGGCCCCAGCAGGCGACCGGCACACAGTAGATACTCAATAAACACGTTTAGTAACAGAAGAGGAGCAGCGCGCACACTCCCGAGGGTGGAGAGCCAGGCCAAAGGAGAAGCAGGCTCCCGGCGGGCTGCCGGTGTCAACCCCAGGGCTGAGGAAGGGGCCAGGCTGCGTTTGTGCAACATCCCTGCCCCGGCCCAGGCTCCCCGGCAGCCAGAGAAACTGGGTCACGGGCCTGGGGCCAAGGGCCTCAGTGGGAGCGGGGAGCAGGGGGCCGGGGCCTGTCTGGCCCAAAGCCGCATTCACATCTCTCAGCAGAAGCAGGCTCCGAAGAGGGTGGGGCCGCCTTGCACAGGTCTGTGTTCTCAGCTGTCTGCTCGCATCAGCAGAGACAACCTGCTGACGACCTCCCCACCTCCCACTGGGCCCGGCTCATGGTCACTGACTGTCTTCTGAGGAAAAGACAGCTCTTCCAATGGCAAGACCAAGGCATGGCTGAGCTGAAAAGGCAAGCGGTCCTGGGACCCAGAACACCCCAAGGAAACAGAGGCCAGAGGGGCAGCCTTGGGAAGCACCCCATCCTGTCCCCACACACGCGCCCTCAAAGGACACCTGACTCGTGGCCACATGAACACTGACTGTGCCGATCTGGCCCCATCCACCCTGCCCTGCCCACTGCCAAGTTTGCACATTTAAGTCCTTCTGCCACTGAGGCGCAGTCGAGCACATGGGTTCTCGGGCCAGACTGCCCAGCTTTCTTTCTTTCTTTCTTTTTTTTTTAGAAAAGTAAAATATTTTATTTTGTATTTATAATTTATAAATCTCCCAAAGTTTCCAAATATTTGCCATCTATCTAATCTATCATCTATGTTTATTTTTTTATTATGTTATATTAATCACCATACATCATTAGTTTTTGATGTAGTGTTCCATGATTCATTGTGTATAACACCCAGTGCTCCATGCAGTACGTGCCTTCTTTAATACCCATCACCAGGCTAACCCATCCCCCCACTCCATCCCCTCTAGAGCCCTGTTTGTTTCGCAGAGTCCATAGTCTCTCATGGTTCGTCTCCCCCTCCAATTTCCCCCCCTTCATTCTTCCCCTCCTGCTATCTTCTTTTTTTTTTTAACATATAATGTATTATTTGTTTCAGAGGTACAGATCTGTGATTCAACAGTCTTACACAATTCACAGTGCTCACCATAGCACATACCCTCCCCAATGTCTATCACCCAGCCACCCCCTCCCTCCCACCCCACCCCCACTCCAGCAACCCTTAGTTTGTTTCCTGAGAGTAAGAATTCCTCGTATCAGTGAGGTCATATGATACATGTCTTTCTCTGATTGACTTATTTTGCTCAGCATAACACCCTCCAGTTCCAGTTTTCTAATACAGACATCACCCTACCCCCTGGATAACCTTGGAGGAGTCTCCACATGGCTGTGCCTCTTGCTTTCCTCATTGGGACAGGGTAACAAGGCTACCCCTGGGAGGATGTCTGGAGGATTAAGTGAGATTAAATGAGATAATACAGGTAAAGCACTTAATGAGTTCTATGGTTAGTATGAAGGCCCCTGAAGGCGGTATTTGTCTCTTGTGTGGGTGCCACATTCTTTTCCCGTGCCTAGGACAGTGCCTGGTACACAGCAGGTACTCTCGGTAAACGCATGTAGAAAGAATGTTAAATGCATTCTTTTGCATTTAGGGGCCAGGCCGAGCAGAGTCTCTGAGTGAGGCTGTCAGGCAGGGCGTGGGGCAGGAGGGGTGCTGGAGGCCGGGGCACCACAGGGGAGTCAGAGGAAGGACGCTCACTTCTGCCAAGGGCAGGAGCTGCTCCGAGGCTCCAGGCAGTGGATGCCACATGGGAATGGCAGCCCAGAGATGCCACGTCTTCCAGTATTTTCTGACAAAATAGGAGGTCCAGATTTTTATGTGAACTTAACTCAGGTTTAATTTTTTATTTTTTTTTATTTTTATTTTTTTTTTATTTTTTTTTAAGATTTTATTTATTTATTTGACAGAGAGAGACACAGCGAGAGCAGGAACACAAGCAGGGGGAGTGGGAGAGGGAGAAGCAGGTTTCCCGCTGAGCAGGAAGCCCGATGTGGGACTCGATCCTAGGACCCTGGAATCATGACCTGAGCCGAAGGCAGACGCGTAACGACTGAGCCACCCAGGCGCCCCTTAACTCAGGTTTAAAAATTGACAGTTAGGGCGCCTGGGTGGCCTAGTTGGTTAAGCGTCTGCCTTCCGCTCAGGTCATGATCCCAGGGTTCTGGGATTGAGCCCCGCATCGGGCTCCCTGCTCGGCAGGGAGTCTGCTTCTCCCTCTGCCTCTTCTCTCTGCTTGTGCTCTCTCTTGCTCTCTCAACTAAATGAATAAAATCTTAAAAAAAATAAAAATAAAAATTGACAACTAATCTGATTACTAAAAAAGCAGGCCAATTAGAACTAATAAACAAACTCAGCTAAGTCACAGGATACAAAATCAACATGTAAAAAACAGCTGTTCTTCAGGATGCCTGTGCGGGCTCAGTCGGTTAAGTGTCCGACTGTCGGTTTTGGCTCAGGTCATGATCTCAGGGTCGTGAGATCGA